GCCAAGACAGGAAGGCAAGAAGCAGCAACAGTGCCTGTGTATACGTGTGCGTGTGCGTGTGATTGGGTGGGAAGCGGGTAGAATACAAGCCAGTGTTCTGGAACTTAAAAGACAGAGATTGGCAGGAGATGTGGCTGGCAAAGCACCGTCCAGCCCGTCCAGGGAGCAGAGACTCCGCGAGGGATTCTGCCCTCTGCTCCCCATTGCCCGGGCCTGGCTGCCAGCAGGGCGCCCTGCTCGGTCTGACTGTGACCAGGCGCACAGAGGCAGTGTCCTGTGGAGGGGAGGCGGGGCCCAGGGACCCGGGCTCTAGCTCCTGCGTGGCCACTCACAGAGCAGGATGTGACCGTCTCCCCCTCAGGAGTCTGTTCCTCTCTTCATGAGATAAGGAAGTTGATAATGCCAATAATAAAACACAATGCCTGACACGTGAGGGGCTCTATGCAGTTTAAACTCAGCATGCCTGTGAGCTGGGTGGTGCTGTGGGTGCCTGTGGGTGAGCACTTAGGAAATGTTAGTCCGGTAGGGGCCACCCTGGCTTTGGGGTCTCAGGGAACCTCCTCTAACTCAGATACCGGGGTCACTCACTTCTCCCATCACACCCCACTCTAACGTGGGCAGATGAGGAATAATTTCTTGTTTATGACGTCAGCAGAAGGCTGCAGAACGTTTTGGAGGGATTTTGCAGAAAACAGATGTCCAAAAAGTTCTTTTTTTTTTTTTTTTTTTTTTGAGACGGAGTCTCGCGCTGTGTCACCCAGGCTGGAGTGCAGTGGCGCGATCTCGGCTCACTGCAAGCTCCGCCTCCCGGGTTCACGCCATTCTCCTGCCTCAGCCTCCGAGTAGCTGGGACTACAGGCGCCCGCCACCACGCCCGGCTAGTTTTTTGTATTTTTAGTAGAGACGGGGTTTCACCATGTTAGCCAGGATGGTCTCGATCTCCTGACCTCGTGATCCACCCGCCTCGGCCTCCCAAAGTGCTGGGATTACAGGCTTGAGCCACCGCGCCCGGCCCCAAAAAGTTCTAAAAGTCAAAGATTCTGGAGGTTCAAGTCCTCTTTCTTTAGTGTCACCCAGTTGTCCATCAGTGGGGTGACCACGTAATTCATCATCCAAACTAGGACACTTCTGGGTGTGAACTGTCACTCGTCACACAGACGAGGCAGAAACATACATAGACTGTCCTGGGCAAATGCAGACAAGTGACCCACATGCCTATCACCAGGTAGGCCCTGCCAAACTTACAGCCACAGGGGTCCCTTCGATAAGCCTAAAAGAGTCCGACGGCAGGCAACAGCTCCCCTCAAGTCAGGAGGCTGAGTGGGCCGGCTCTGTCACTACTTCGCCCTGGGTACTGAAGCCAGGCCATGCAAACACAGGGCAGGTTCCCCTGTCAGATGAAGAGTCTCTACCAGATGGAGTTTCTTCCTGTCTCAGCATCAGCCCCCTTTCTCCTTTCAGGTCCTTCCTTCTGGTTAAGATGTATGTTCAGGGGAAGTCACTGTCAGAGTGACTGAGTGCAAGGCGGCCACCACTTTCTCTGCCTCCACGTCTCCTGGAGACCCGCTCTATCCCCCAGGTCGGGGTGCTCTGCAGTGTGTGGAATGGCCCTGCAGCCCCGGTTTGGCTTTGCCATGGACGGGAGCCTCCTGCTCTGTTGCTGGCCTTTGCTGAGCCTCTTAGAGAGCTCTGTGCTGGACCTCCGCAAACAGGTCACTCCATGGGTGGCTCCAGCCAGCGAGGCTGTCTGCATGGGGGGGCGGCCACGTGGCCCCTGCCTGCCTCTCTTGAGTGCCCTTTTGTGCTCAGCCGGGGCAACGCCGTGACCTTGGCCACAACAGGCACTGTATAAAATGGGAGCAAGAGAAAGGATCTTGTGAGGCCATAATCCAAGCCTTGCCTTTGGCCCCTGGAGAAGCAACTTGCTAATGGGAGCCGGGACCAAAACCTCAGCGAACCCCCGCAGCTGCCTCCTTCCCTCAAGGTGCCCCTTCCTCCAGCACAGCACAGCTCTCTCCTCTCCCTCAGGGACTCAGGGATTAGCCAACCTTTAGAAGTCTGTGTTTGTTTACAAAGCTGCTGCTTCTCCTTCCAGCCTCTGAATGCATCCTACAGGCGTTCATTAAGGAGGCTGCACAGCGAGCCCAGCAGGCAGAGGAGAGTTTGGGGGGTTCGTTAAAGGACCCGTCACCCCTGCGGGAGCCCCTCCGTGTATTCTCAGTCTCTTCAGAACACAGGTACACACACCTGCACACATACGTATACACGCATACACACGCACACGCACATGCAATACACACGCACATACACCTCACATATATATACACATCACACAAACACGCATATATACATTCACACACGCACACATACATATACATACATATGCACAAATATGCAATACACATGCACATACACCTCACATACACATCATGCACACAAACACATGCACACACATTCACACGTACACATACGCACACACATAAACATACATGCAGTAGACGTGCACATTCACACATGCCCACATACGTTCACTCGCACACATGCCTGCACAACATACATGCACACATACATTAACACACATACACCTCCACATATCCACATCATAGACAGACATGTACGCACATTTGCACACACACGCCCCAGCCCATTTCCAACAGTCTCCTGTTACTGTGCGGAACAAACCTCTGCCAGTCCCATTCCAAGCATCGCTGAGGCTCGTCCCCTGTGGTTTGGCCCCCGCAGCAGTGCCCAGCGGATGCTCCCTCTGCAGCCGGGAGAGGCAGAACGAACCTCTTCACTTCACCTCACATGACCCTCAGCCCACACCCCTTCTCTCCATTTCTGCTCACTAAAAATTTCACCCCTGAATGTTGTGCACGCTCCAGCTCACACCATCTCCCCTGCTGTGGAGAGAGACGCACAATGCACGTTCAGTCTGGCTTCACTGCCAGCTCCCCGCCAGGACTGGGAAGCTCCAGCCCTGGGTAACCACTGCCAGGAACTCTGTCCTGCTTTCTTTTGTCACTATCTTGGATTATGTTCTTGACGTTGAGCAGACCAGGGCGGCCTGCCCTTGGCAATGGGCCTAGGAAGCTGTGGTGCCAGGCTGCCCGCAGAGACCCCGCCACTCCCCACGTGCGTCTGGTCCAAGCCTCTGAAGCCCTAAACTTCTTGCCTCTGCTATTCTGCTGCTGTTGCTCTTTCTTTTCTCTCCTGCCCCCACCCTCGGGCACACAAGCAATTGAGGTAATCATGCTCCTTAGTTTATATAAACCTTCATCACTGGTTTGGACAAGGATTCTTTAAAAGTTCATTTCCTCCCGTTGACGTCCGTGCCCCACTCCCATTCCCCACAACCCCTCAGCCATTGTATCCTGTCCAACGTGTTATTTTTTGTTTGTGTTTTTACAAAATGTAGATTGTTTTGTGCGCACGGCTTTATATGAATTCTATAGAGGTGTAAGATGCACACGGAAAAGTCCGCAGAGACCTCAGTGCACACCTCAGCGAAGTTTACAAACAGCTGACTGCGTGTCTGCGTACGTGTGTTAACCCACATCCAGACGACAATCGAGAACGTTGCCGACACTCCAGGAGGTCCTGCGTGTACCCTGCTTAGCCAAACTGACCTTCTGGGATGTCACTCTGCCGATTCCTGACATCACAGGTTTCTTTCTGGAATTTCACATAAATGGAGTGACACAAAGCAGCGTCTTCACCGTCTTTTATCTGATTCTTTCAATCCTCGTTATGTCCATTTTTAATCACTGTGTAGTATTCAGTTGTATGAAACTCTGTGGACCTATTTTTTTTTTTAGGACAGGATCTCACTGTCACCCAGGCTATAGTGCAGTGGCTGTACCATAGCTCACTGCAGCCTCGACCTCCTGGGTTCAAGCGATCCACCTGCCTCAGCCTCCTGAGTAGCTGGGACCACAGGTGCCCGCCACCGTGCCCAGCTTATCTATTTTTAATTTCTGTGGTTCTGTGTTATGAATCCCGTTCTGGCTTTCCCCCTACTAAATGCCGTGTTTACATGTCGTCCTCATTGCCATGTGCACGTGTCACCCACCAGTACTCCACGCAATGCTCCACCACAGCATCCGCCACTCTGCCACCAGCTCCGCAGGGATGGACGCACAGGCCCCTGTCGTGGCCCTGCCCCCACGAGATGCCGGTCCTCTTCCTGCTCATTCACTCCCCTGTACTGCACTGCTGGGGTCCGACAAGGCTCCAACCAGGAAACCCATGACTTCAAAAGAAAGAAACCTTTGTCCTCAAATTTGGTCACAGGCAAATGTTCTGTGTGGAAGCCCAGTCTGCAGTCTCTGCTAACTCCAGGACGTGCTGCCCTCACTGCTCCTCTGACTGCCCCCGGCTCAAGGCTGAGCGTTCCTGTATCCACGAAGGAAGGTCGGGGGACTGGCTCCCAAACATCGGCCAGGACCTTGGGGGCACCCAGGGAGACGGGGGCTCTGCACCTCAGGGCTTTGGATCCAGAAGGTCTGGGACAAGCCCTGGGAACCAGCAAGGGAGCAGCGGCAGCCATCCTGTGGCCATGAGAGGAGCTGGCTGGGGGACAACCTGAAATGCTGAGGGCAGCAAGAGGAAACACGGAAGGAACGGCGTCCTGGGTGACATCTTGGACCTGCTGCACTCGCCAGCCCTGGAGCCACCTGCCTCTGACCTCGTGTGAGCTGTCACACCGTTATTATTTCAGTCCCCAAGTAGGGGTTTCCTGCTCCTTGCAGCCGGAAGCACTAAGTGGTACCCGCCGCACCCCTGCTGGGCACTCTTCTGATGACTCTGAGCTCCCGGAGGCGGGGGCGAGGCAGGGTCTATGCTCCACTCTGAGGGCCCAGTGGAGCAGCATGTGTTCAGACACGTGGGGTTTACTCCAGGCAGAAATCACCCTCATAAGGGCATGAGATCCAGGCAGAGCGAGCTCTCTGGCCTCTCGGTATTTTCTTTTGTGTCTGTCTTCTCAGCAGCCTGTGAGCTCCTCCAGGGCAAGAAATGACCATCACGCTAAGGGGTTCTGGACCCTGGGGCCAGGCACAGGGCCAGGCGTACAGTGGGTAGGTAGCAAAGGCTTGCTGGGCACTGTGGGAGAGAAGGGCGGGGAGGCATTGAGGAGCAAGAGAAAAGGAGAAGCCGAAGGCCAGGCAGACAGGCAGAGAAGGAAAGATTCATGGAGGCCCCACCAAGAGAGGAACTGAGGCTGTGAAACAGAAGGGTGGAGACCTGAGGGACCCAGGCCAGTGGGCACAGACAAGTGAGCCTGAGCAGACGGAACCAAACCCATGCCCATCTGGTCGTCTCCTCCTCCTCCTGCTCCTCCCCCCGCCTTCCCCCTCCTCGTCCTCCTTTCCCTCTTCTTCCCCCTCTTCCTCCTCCCCCTCTTCCTCCTCCCCCTCTTCCTCCTCCTGCTCCCCTTCCTCCTCCTCCTCCTCCCCCTCTTCCTCCTCCTTTTCCTTCTCCCCCTCTTCTTCCCCCTCTTCCTCCTCCTCTTCTTCCTCCCTTTCTCCTCCTCCTCTTCCTCCTCCTCTTCTTCCTCCCTTTCTCCTCCTCTTCCTCCTCCCCTTCCTCCTCCTCTTCCTCCTCCCCTTCCTCCTCCTCCCCCTCTTCCTCCTCCTCCCCCTCTTCCTCCTCTTTCCCCTCTTCCTCCTCCTCCTCCTCCTCCCCCTCTTCCTCCTCCTCCCCCTCTTCCTCCTCTTTCCCCTCTTCCTCCTCCTCTTCCTCCTCCATCTCTTCCTCCTCTCCCCCCTTCCTCCTCCTTTTCCTCCTCCCCCTCTTCCTCTCCCTCTTCCTCCTCCTTTTCTTCCCCCTCTTCCTCCTCCTCCTCTTCCTTCTCCTCTTCCTCCTCCTCCTCCTCTTCCTCCTCCTCCTCCTCTTCCTCCTTCTCCCCCTCTTCCCCTCTTCCTCTTTCCCCTCTTCTTCCCCCTCTTCCTCTCCTCTTCCTCCTCCTCTTTTCCTCTTCTTCCTCCCCCTCTTCTCCTCCTCCTCCTCCTTCCCCTCTTCCTTCTCCTCCTCCTCCCCTTCGTCCTCCTCCCCCTTCCTCCTCCTCCCTCTCTTCCTCCTCCTTCTCCTATCCTCTTTTTCCTCCTCGACCTTTTCCTCTTCCTCCTTCCCCCTTCCCCCTCCTTCCCCACACTCTGAAATGAGCACATGGCTCAGACTGAGAGGACAAACCTCCAGCTGAATTTAGTTGTAGCTGTGATTCTCCAAAACGCTTCGGGGATTTATCGGCACCAGTAACTGCCCCTCTGCTTCCTCACCTACACACCTAATTTTGTCCAGAACAGGTGGGACTCAGGCAGAGGAAGGGCTGCACAGGTGTCAGTGCCCCCATCCTAGGGAGACTGCTGCAGACAGCCTTCCCGGTGTGACCCAGCCCCTGCCCATGAACGGTGGCCATGGTCATGAGGAGGATGACAATGACAAGGAGAGCCACGATGACCACAGGGTTTATAGAGATCTCGCCATTCGCTGGGCAATATGGAGGAATGTTACACACACCATGTCACCTCCCCCGACATCTGCAGGGCAGGTATCACTGCCCCGCGTTCTATTGAGGGGGAAATTGAGTGGGAAGTTTGGTAACTTGCCCGAGATCACGCCGTTAATCAATGGCAGGGCCTAAACAAGCCCTTAGCCACTACAATCCTCCTTGATTAGCTTAATCAGCACTAATTCTTCTTTCAAACTCAAATGCTACTCCCGTTGTGTCAACCTCTTCAGAAGTGTCTGCCAGTGTGTTCCGTAACGATCCAAGAGCCCGTCTCACATTTGTCCTTGACTATTATGGTCTTCACATTGATTGCATCCCTGGTGTATCTCTGAGCGCAAGGATCCCATCCCCTCGCCTCTGTATCGCCCCTGCTGTACCTGACACAGAGAGAGGCCCATCCCACGAAGCCTGGCACAGGCAATGCGGTGAGTGCAGGCAGCCTGGGCTCAGTGATCCTGGCTCTTTCGTGAATGGGGCATGGCACTGAGGAGGGCCCTTCTCTCCTGGTCTCAGTTATGTTTCTGGAAAGTTGAGGGCTGAGCTCCGACAATTCCAGAAGCTCCACTGAGCATGAGCATTTGATGGCTCCCACTCGCCTCTGCCACTTCCTCCGGGACTGTTCCCAAAGCGGGAACGAGGGTCCGGAGTCCTCCTCTGTCCTCTGAGGCGTGCCCAGGGCTTTCAGCACGGGAACATCAGCCCAACTATGGCGCGCCATGGGGCTGACCCTGAGGGCGGCGGGCCAAGGGAACATGAGTTCACCAGAGGCCAGTCACAGTCACGAAACGGTCACACCCCTAATTCCATTTCTCTACCACCAAACATTTGCACCATTTCTGTACATTTCCCCCCTCAGAAGGAAGGAGAAGAACTCTTCCTAACGCCAATGGGATTCATTTTAATCCCATCGTCGCAGTTTGTAAGGCAACGTTTTCTCCGCGGATTGCTTGAAGGAGAACCTGGACAGCAGCCCTGGCTCCTGGCTGGTCTTCGTTTGTTGGCCCTGGGTAATGCCAACCCTGGTGTGACCCTCAATAGACCCTTGACCAAGGCCCTCTCTGGCCTTTCCGGAACGCAGTCCTTGGGGAGCTCGGAAGAGCAAATTCCCAGCAAGCTGCCAGCCTGGACCAGACATCCTTCCTGGAAGCTGGTCTGGTTCTCCAAGGAAGCATTCGGCTTCCTGTCCGGCCAGCCCCACTCCCCACGCTCACTGCTGTGAGCTGCCTCCTCCAGGCTGCTGTGGCCTCTGGGCTTGGCCCAGTGCTCTGAGCTGTGCATAGTTCCATCTCGGCACGTTGCCAGGACCTCAGATGAGCTGGCGTGGGCCCCGCTGTTTCGAACAGCAGGGCTTAGGGACTGATTTCCACTGCAGTGGTGGCTTCCTGGCCAGGTTCTCACGCTCACCCTCCTGGTATAACACTACACATGCTGGCTGCCCACCTCCTCAGGGCTCTGACCTGGCACGGCTGCAGAGGTGCAAGTGTAAGTGAAGCAGGGAGCTGAAAGGGAGGCTGTGAGGACTTCTGATTTCAAAGCGACTCCCCCAGGATTCCATCCCCCTCCCTCCTGACTGCTGGGCAGCCAGGGCTCTGGCCGGCGTGGCTACTGGGCCCCCCTGCTTCCCCTTGTCCTTCTCAGCCTCAGCTGACTGTGTAGTCACAGCCTCTTGCCTGCCCTGAAAGGGATGGAAAAGCTGCAGATGGAGAGGACCTGGAGACCAGACTTTCTAGCAACATGGCCCTACTGGATAGAGTCACTGCAAAGGGCCGTGAGGGGGTTTCCAAAGAGGAACAACATGGTCAACACCTTGTCCACACACCCCAGTGAGCACCCTGGAAACTGCCTTCTGGCCTCACGTGACGGGAATAGCCAGGACCATCTTGCTGGGGGCCGGCTGACCTCAGCCCAGCCTCATCCTCCATCTCCCATGTCCCCTCTCCTTTGGCAAGGCTTTTATACCGTGGGTTACCAGGGTCCATCTTGGCAGACAGCTAACCTGTGTATTAATGTGTGTTGGATGTGCACTCATCCGCGTGTGCTGCACACGTGCTCGGTTGGTACTGTGTGGTGCGTTACATGCGTGCATGCGTGTGTGTGTATGTTCATGTGTGTGCTCACTGCCCGCCGCCCGCAGTCACTAAGCTCACTATGGTCCGTAAGCTTGCCTTGCTTCTCCCTCGTGAGCTCAAACGTCTCGCATTTGTGTAGAACATCACGAGCTCACATGCACCGTCTCCGATGATCCTCTCACCCAACTCTCTTGTATGTAGATGACAAAATTAAGAGGGAAAAGGCCAAGGTTGCACAGGAGATCAGTTTCAGGGTGCGCACTAAAAACCAGCTCTTCTGACTCATAGGTGGCTGAGGCTCGTTCCACTGCACCCAACCAGAAAGGCCATGAAAGGCTCCCAGGGCAAATGGGCCCCTGGGCCCCACAGCTGAGTCCCTGCCCAATCTCTGCCCCTTTGCGCACACCTTGGTCTTCTGCTCTGAAGAAGAGGGGGTGCAGCCTTTGCTAGCTCCCCTGGAAGTGTCTTGGGAGTAGAGGTTTGCCCATCAGTCGTTACACAGGAAGAAAACTCACATGTACATGATAATGGAGAGTGTTTCTGAGTGCCAGGCCCTGTGCTGAGAGCTTTACCTGCCTCGTTTTGTTCGCTACTCCCAGGAGTGAGGCAAACCTAGTTGCCCACATCATACCCTTCTGTTCTTCCTCATAACACCCAGCGCCAGGCAACAGATCATGTTTTGTTAGACAAGTTAGGGTAATCCTGTTTCCATCTTTCCAGCCTCCCTTGCCACTCAGGGCGACCCCGTTGTCCACTTTTGGCCAATTAGTCAGAGGCATGGCCCTTCTCCTGCCCCCTACCGTAAACTTGGACGTGATGTTGAATGGCAGCAGCCATCTTGTGACAGTGAGGTGAGCCACATGAGGATGAAAGCCAGCAGGCAGAGGGGGGAAGGCAGAAAGAAGGAGGGCCTGGGTCTCTGCAGACATCACGGAGCAGCTGAGCCAAGACAGGCTGCTACTGGAACTGCCCACTCCAAACTTCTTGTTTTCACAAATCCCTGTTTGTCATCTGGGTTTTCTGTTACTTTCAGCTGAGTACATTTATGCCTGACACAGGGGGCATCATCCCCATTTTACAGATAAGAAAAACGAGATGCCGTGGATAACAGGGTAGGAAGGGACAGTCCTGGGGCCCGCCCATCACGGGTCAGAACCTGGAGCACACCCTCTGGGCTCGCAGCTAGCCCTCGCTTGTCGGTTAAATGAGTAAATTGCTGGTGCCTCTCAGCACTTCCTCTGGTCTTCCCTTTCAAACCCTGTTCTTTGATGCTTGAATTTCCTCTTGAGGCCTCTCTGCACTCCTCCTGGGCTGTGAAGCTGTGGAAACTGACCAGCTCCTTTCACCACCAAGTCCTCCCCCAGCTTGTAAATCCCCACGGGGCCCTCTGAGTTTCTTCTGCTTCGGTCTTTACCTCCCCATTCTCTCTCTCTCTCCCCGCTTCCCCCCCCACACACACACACAACCTCTAACGAGTTACCTTCAGGGTATTTATAGACACGGCAGGTCCCCAGGGATCCGCTCTTTGGCAGAGTGCCTCTTCGCACAGCCTCGCAGCAGCTGCCTGCCTGGCCAGCCTCTAATTAGCCCGCTGCCCTCTGCTCCCGGGTTTTGATGCGCCTCAGACTCTCCAGGCGGAAGGTACAAGTTGGAGGCCTGACGTCCCGCGGGCAGGAGACTGCACCAGCAAATCTAGGTTGACGCTAGGCTGATGACCTTGTTTACCACCTAAATCCAAGCTGCGTTTCTTAGTGATGGGTGGGGAGACGTGCGTGTGTCCATGTGCATGTGTCCGTGTACACGTGTGTGTGTTCTGGTGCGTGTGTCCGTGTACGTGTGTGTCCGTGTGTGTCCATGTGCATGTGTGTGTCCGTGTGCGTGTGTCCGTGTGCATGTGTGTGTTCCATGTGCGTGTGTCCATGTGCATGTGTGTGTGTGTGCATGTATCTGTGTGCGTGTGTGTCCGTGTGTGTCCATGTGCATGTGTGTGTCCGTGTGCGTGTGTCCGTGTGCATGTGTGTGTTCCATGTGCGTGTGTCCATGTGCATGTGTGTGTCCATGTGCGTGTGTCTGTGTGTGTGTGTGTCCATGTGCGTGTGTGTCCGTGTGCATGTGTCCGTGTCGTGTGTCTGTGTGCTTGTGTGTCCATGTGCATGTGTCTGTGTGCTTGCGTGTCCGTGTACATGTGTGTCAGTGTGTGTGTGTGCATGTATCTGTGTGCATGTGTGTCCGTGTGCGTGTGTCTGTGTGCGTGTGTGTGTCCATGTACATGTGTGTCCGTGTGTGTCCGTGTGTGTGTGCGTGTGTCCATGTACATGTGTGTTCGTGTACATGTGTGTCCGTGTGCATGTGTGTGTCCGGGTGTATGTCCGTGTGCATGTGTGTGTCCACGTGCATGTGTGTGTCCGTGTGCATGTGTCTGTGTGCTTGTGTGTCCGTGTGCGTGTGTGTCTGTGTGTGTACATGTGTCCATGTACATGTGTGTCCCTGTGTGTGTCCGTGTGTGTGCGTGTGTGTCTGTGTACATGTGTGTCCTTGTGCGTGTGTCCGTATGCATGTGTGTGTCCATGCGCGTAGTTGCAGG